GCAGTCACCATAGTCCTCCGTCTTCGTCTTCGTCCTCCTCTGTCGAAGTAAAAGTCCGTTGGAGGAAACGAAAATCGTCTGCCTGTAAGTACAAGAAACTGATTCGTCGCAGCATGGCGTTCAATGCATCGCTTCTGAACAAAAAGCGATATTCGTTGAGCCCGGTGTGCCCCGTGGAGTTGGTCAATTTCTACCATTTGTTGGAGGAGGACTCTGACGTTTCTAAGGTGGAAACGATACGCCGTTACCTCACGAACAGCGCCGATTTGGGCAGCACTCCGAATTTATCCAAAGCCGAGATCGTTCCTGCATGTTTGAGGAAGCGTTCCCTTCCGCGCAGATCTAAATCCGATCCTGGCGTGTATACGGCTGTAATCAACGGCAAAAACAACGTCCAACAGCCATCTGACGGTAGTCTTTTGTATTAGCACATATGCCACAAAATTTCGCTTTCCCGTTTCAGACGTCATCGCCGAAGAAAATCACCATGCTGTTAGCGCAGAAGTGACTAAAATCCTCACTTGTGACGATTCTGTGTGTAGCAGCTCTCATCGTTGTGATGCACAGTCCGCCCGGACTTCTGTATGTAAGTAGTCGGCTTGAATGCAGTGTGTGACTACCTATATTTTTGTCCCTCTACTGTTCAGTGGTATGATATGAGAGTACATGTATCCTTCTATCCAACCTGTTTTTATCAGCGATCGTACCACAATTGAAGGTCGATGTACTGCCACTGTTATTCGTGTTTTGCCGTTTGCTGCCACCGTTGACAAAATTGATTCGTCATTGGGTCGTCCCAGGGTGTTGTTGAACGAGACGACCGAGTGGACGTTAGCTGTCAAAGGAGATCCAGTGGGAAACTCAGAATATCGATATGTTGTCCTTCAGACGAACCACATCGCTAGCCTATTGTCTATAAGTTGTTGGTGACAGTGAGTAAATCTTAACATCATTTCTGACACATAACTATCGCACTTTGAAAATGGTTTTCATTGGAGACCTTGCGTCCTCTCCACTCCATCGCTCTCTGAAATTCTATTCCTCAATCTTGTTCATAGACCAGTACTTCACGCCATAAATCATGGCGGGTAGGACGGAGGAATCGAACAGTTCTTTCTTCGTTGGACGTGGGTAGTTTGGGATCCATCAGCGATGTTTTGATATGATTGAATCTTTCCAACGCAACCTTCCTTCTGCTGTTGATCTTGATCTTACCATTGACGTTGTTATTGGAGTCTGTTAGATGGCCGAGATACACAGTTCTATAGAATGCTATGAAAGTACATATGCAATATATAACAATTCTTATTCTGTCATGTCGTTCTCTATAAAATGATGACTGGCATGGTCTTCGCTCTGCTTTCTTTGATGCGCATTCCTTCGTCTCTCATTTTGGTCAAGGTATCATGCTCATAACCTGACTGACTGACTGACTTGCTTTTAAGACATGTCGTTATTTGTTATTCCCTGGTTATCATTGATCTTTGACGTACATCAGTAATCGTCAAGGTTATTGTGACGGCTAATACAGGCTGAAGCTGCGAGGGCAAGGATACTGCAATCACACAGCGAATACCCAAACGGTGACTACTAATCGGCGAACAAAGTTTTCTGGCACACTATCTACTCTCTTGATCGGTGAAAATTACGTACTGTTTTAAACTATGGAAAGCCTCTCCCTTCAGAGCGACTAAATCAGTCACTACAAATCGTACGATGGTAGTTTCAATTCATAGAAATGATGACATTAATTTAGTCGTTGAAAAGTATCAAGGCTATTTGGATAGGCAAAATCTGACCTGAAATGCTAGAGATCTTTATTCATTACGATAACTTCTGGGTAGCTCATGTGTGTCAGATTGTGTGGAATTGTAACAAGACTCTGAAGCCATGACATTCCGAAGTGATTATCCCCTGTCGAAGAAAGAATGAGAAGTGACAGTAACTGTGCAGCCATCTGTCTGGGTAATCTCACTATAAATTATATGAGGAATGCCTAGCAATGGGTTGTGGAGAATTTGTAAGGCGAAAGCTTGTGAACAAGCAGTATAACTTTCAGCCAGGCAAGAGCATAGTAAATCATTTATTTGTTCTTTGCTTGTTCTCCTTGTTTTATTTTTTAGAGACCATTATGTTGTCAATCTGCTAAATTGCGCAATATCATGGAGTTATTAGTACACCGTCGAATGATGATGAAATTAAATCCTTTTGCTTTTTTGGCTCTTCGTCATATAGGACTCAGTCCAAGAAGCTTTACTGCTGTTGTTGTTGATATGCTAAACAGATGATCTCATATTTTGGTACAGTACTAGATGACACCCACTGCTAGAGAGTCTGTCGTCATGCCTGTCTGTCCTAACCTATGATACATAGTT